GGTACACAGTGATGTCACTCAGGTACACAGTGATGTCACTCAGGTACACAGTGATGTCACAGAGGTACAAAGTGATGTCACAGAGGTACACAGTGATGTCACTCAGGTACAAAGTGATGTCACACAGGTACACAGTGATGTCACAGAGGTACACAGTGATGTCACTCAGGTACACAGTGATGTCACTCAGGTACACAGTGATGTCACAGAGGTACACAGTGATGTCACTCAGGTACACAGTGATGTCACTCAGGTACACAGTGATGTCACAGAGGTACAAAGTGATGTCACAGAGGTACACAGTGATGTCACACAGGTACACAGTGATGTCACTCAGGTACACAGTGATGTCACTCAGGTACACAGTGATGTCACAGAGGTACACAGTGATGTCACAGAGGTACAAAGTGATGTCACAGAGGTACACAGTGATGTCACACAGGTACACAGTCACTCAGGTACACAGTGATGTCACAGAGGTACACAGTGATGTTACACAGGTACACAGTGATGTCACAGAGGTACACAGTGATGTCACAGAGGTACACAGTGATGTCACTCAGGTACACAGTGATGTCACAGAGGTACACAGTGATGTCACATAGGTACACAGTGATGTCACAGAGGTACACACTGATGTCACAGAGGTACACAGTGATGTCACTCAGGTACACAGTGATGTCACTCAGGTACACAGTGATGTCACAGAGGTACACAGTGATGTCACAGAGGTACACAGTGATGTCACTCAGGTACACAGTGATGTCACAGAGGTACACAGTGATGTCACACAGGTACACAGTGATGTCACTCAGGTACACAGTGATGTCACTCAGGTACACAGTGATGTCACAGAGGTACACCAGTGATGTCACAGAGGTACACAGTGATGTCACAGAGGTACACAGTGATGTCACAGAGGTACACAGTGATGTCACACAGGTACAAAGTTATGTCACAGAGGTACACAGTGATGTCACTCAGGTACACAGTGATGTCACTCAGGTACACAGTGATGTCACAGAGGTACACAGTGATGTCACAGAGGTACACAGTGATGTCACTCAGGTACACAGTGATGTCACTCAGGTACACAGTGATGTCACAGAGGTACACAGTGATGTCACTCAGGTACACAGTGATGTCACACAGGTACACAGTGATGTCACACAGGTACACAGTGATGTCACAGAGGTACACAGTGATGTCACTCAGGTACACAGTGATGTCACACAGGTACACAGTGATGTCACACAGGTACAAAGTGATGTCACAGAGGTACACAGTGATGTCACAGAGGTACACAGTGATGTCACAGAGGTACACAGTGATGTCACTCAGGTACACACTGATGTCACACAGGTACACAGTGATGTCACACAGGTACAAAGTGATGTCACAGAGGTACACAGTGATGTCACAGAGGTACACAGTGATGTCACTCAGGTACAAAGTGATGTCACAGAGGTACACAGTGATGTCACACAGGTACAAAGTGATGTCACAGAGGTACACAGTGATGTCACTCAGGTACACAGTGATGTCACACAGGTACACAGTGATGTCACAGAGGTACACAGTGATGTCACTCAGGTACACAGTGATGTCACAGAGGTACACAGTGATGTCACTCAGGTACACAGTGATGTCACACAGGTACACAGTGATGTCACTCAGGTACACAGTGATGTCACAGAGGTACACAGTGATGTCACACAGGTACACAGTGATGTCACAGAGGTACACAGTGATGTCACAGAGGTACACAGTGATGTCACACAGGTACACAGTGATGTCACTCAGGTACACAGTGATGTCACACAGGTACACAGTGATGTCACACAGGTACACAGTGATGTCACAGAGGTACACAGTGATGTCACACAGGTACACAGTGATGTCACACAGGTACACAGTGATGTCACACAGGTACACAGTGATGTCACTCAGGTACACAGTGATGTCACACAGTACACAGTGATGTCACACAGGTACACAGTGATGTCACAGAGGTACACAGTGATGTCACACAGGTACACAGTGATGTCACACAGGTACACAGTGATGTCACACAGGTACACAGTGATGTCACACAGGTACACAGTGATGTCACACAGGTACAACGTGATGTCACACAGGTACACAGTGATGTCACAGAGGTACACAGTGATGTCACACAGGTACACAGTGATGTCACACAGGTACACAGTGATGTCACACAGGTACACAGTGATGTCACAGAGGTACACGTGATGTCACAGAGGTACACAGTGATGTCACTCAGGTACACAGTGATGTCACAGAGGTACACAGTGATGTCACACAGGTACACAGTGATGTCACACAGGTACACAGTGATGTCACACAGGTACACAGTGATGTCACAGAGGTACACAGTGATGTCACACAGGTACACAGTGATGTCACACAGGTACACAGTGATGTCACACAGGTACACAGTGATGTCACACAGGTACACAGTGATGTCACACAGGTACAACGTGATGTCACACAGGTACACAGTGATGTCACAGAGGTACACAGTGATGTCACACAGGTACACAGTGATGTCACACAGGTACACAGTGATGTCACACAGGTACACAGTGATGTCACACAGGTACACAGTGATGTCACACAGGTACACAGTGATGTCACACAGGTACAAAGTGACGTTAAACATTTTTCATACTTTCTTATTTTAGAGGAACAAATGTGAATAATTAAGATGAATTCAGAAATAGCAGACATCTCTTTAACAAACATTAAACAACAAGCATTTATCACTAAACAACACTTAACATTTACACTAAAACAACAGTAAACAACAACAATCATGTTTCACTAAACAACACTAAACAACACAGGGTTGCCAACTCTCACGCATCTGGCGTGTGACACACGCTTTCTCTCTCAATCTCACGCTCTCACGCTGCCCAAACTATTCTCACGCCACAAACAAGATGAACCAGCGATCGTTCTTGGTTGGTTATTTACAATGTTGAGTTGACAGCTGCTCAAGCTGTCGATCCGCTCCCTCCCCGCCCCCACCACTCTTAACAACGTTAACAGACAGCAGAGCAGTGGGAGCCGGTTGGTCAATCCCCGACCCGTATGGCGCATGCGCAGATCTGAGATCCAGTCTGCTGCTTATTGTTCTACTAGGCCGACATCAAGTCAAAGAGTATATGAGAGTGAGAGTGTGTTAATTAATATATTTGGCAGTTTGGAGTAAGTCTGTAGATGTGTGTGTGTGTGTGTTTCATGTATAGGCCTCTCACGATAATTAATTTTGTTGGATACATTTTCACGGAAATTATTGCGATAAACGATAATATTGTCGGCACCGTTGTATGACCATTTTAGACCACTGACATAATGATAATATATAATAATAATTCAAGTACATCCTTTCAAACTGCTAGTCACATCCTCATGTCAATGGACATTTATCGAGTTCATTTTTATTTATCGTGCGATAAGACAATTATTTGCTTATCGCGACAGGCACACAATAAAACAGTGGAAACAAACATGTTTGACTTTCATTAGTGAATGAAACTTTGTGCCCTTTATAGTCTGTGTCCATTATTGTGTATTTGTATATATTGTATATATATCCTATATATATGCTAAGGTCCCGCTACTGACACGATAGCAGTCATTTAGTGCGCATATGTGTAATTAAACCCATGATATCAAAATCTCACTCCAGCCAGGTACCCAAAGTTGGCAACCCTGAACAACATTTACACTAAAACAACAGTAAACAACAACAAGCATGTATCACTAAGTAAGGGATAATGTGCAGCGACGCGGTCATTATGGGTAAAAGAACACCGACAGGCAGATCAGGAGCCCGACGCGAAGCGGAGGGATCTAGATCGGCATGAAGGTGTACGAGTATTCAACTAAACCATGTAATAAACAGCATTATTACATGGTTTAGTTGAATACTCGATTCTGATTGGTCAATTCAGAACACGTGACACGTTGTTAATCCAGAACAGACAGACCGCTGTCAAGGATTTATGACCGTTGTTAAGGACGCTCAAATCTGCAGAAAGAAGTCCGGTCGATTGAACTGTATACAGTTTGGCTGAAAAGCAAACTGCATGCAGTTTGCTTTTCGAACTGACAAGACAAGAGCACCACATCGGGTCAGTGCCTTTCCATGTTGTCTGTCCTTACACACACATTAGCGGTAGCGATACAACTGTGGCAATATTGTTTTCAGATGTGTCATCTGCGAAACCCCCGCAAGAAGAGAGGATCGAGGACAGAAACGTTGATCTCAATATCCCTAAAGATTTCCCATTCACCATGTCACATTGTACTATTAATGGAAACGTTCAGGTTAATGTTAATTACAGCTAAGGCTCAAATGCTAACATGCACAGAGTTAGTTGCTATCGAAGCAGTTCCTGCCGTTGCAACAGCCTAGTTCAAACATCAACAACGGACTATTTTTCGTAGCGGATGAATGTCATTTTAAATCAGTTACAACTATGTTTTTAATCATTAAAAACATTTTCTAAAACAATAAAAGCATTTCAATTAATATTGGGAGTCATATCGTTACTTTGTTGAGAATGTGGCCATGTAATAAGCGGGATAATGTGCAGCGACTTGGTCATTATGGGTAAAAGAACACCTTCATGCCGATCTAGATCCCTCCGCTCCGCGTCGGGCTCCTGATCTGCCTGTCGGTGTTCTTTTACCCATAATGACCGCGTCGCTGCACATTATCCCTTACATAAACAACCCTAACCCACTGCAACACTAAACTAGGTGTAATCCTTTAACACCGATCTGAATGACCAACATCATGACAGCTTTAATAACATTGAACTGAATCATTTAATAAACATATTAATAACTAAATCAGCAGTGAGAGGGTTAAACTTTATATAAGTATATTTATTATAGATGTATATTTATCATAGACTTATATATTAAGATGTATTTTAAGTTATATGTGTTGTATTTTAAAGTCTTACCGGAAGCAGCTCTTTTCTCCTCCGAGGTTTTCAGAAACAACAACAAACCGTCTCCATGACGACGTGCTGCCGCGCAAGCGCACTGCAGTGACCGCGGGGGAAACGGGAAACGAGAAAGGTCCAGCTGCGGCCGCGACAAGTACACGACACTACACGACACGCCCCCTACACGACACGCCCACCTGACACGACACTACGGTGGCTGAGAGATCGTACATGGCAGATTAAAAACGAATTGCAAAATGTTATTGTAGCATTTTAAGCAACTATTAGGCAAATAAATGAATAACCTAGTCTATCCGTTTGAGACACAACAGTATAACTTTCAACCCAAATCATTTTGTCAACAAACGGTGGTTCAGTAAACTTTTTTTAATATATAAAATAGGTATTAATGAGATAATCTATTAATTATGTTTGTCTAACTGCTACACATGTATTTATACATAAATGTAGATATTTGTGAACATCTAAATATAGTTGTTAGAGGTTTTAAGATATACATAATCACATCATGGGGTCATTAAGGACCAAATTAGGAGGGCCACTAATGAGCTCAATCATTCACATGTATTATTATTACTTTATAAATGAAAAGTACTAGGGGTCTATTACAAAACCTTTGAAGGAATCGTCATGCATTCTGAATGTTTCTGTACTTTAAAAACATCATGGCTCAAGATCCTGTTCTAAGATTATTCACTCATTTGTGAATTTAACATCCATATTCACTCAAAACTGAAACAACACCAACATTTTTGTTAAAGCATTGCAGGCCTAAAGCTCCACGCCAGTGACCTATATTTTAATTTCTTCCATCAAACTTTCAAAATGGCAAACAGCATGTTTTTAAAGATTTAATCTTTTAAGAAACAAAATATCAACTTTGAACAGAAGGGTTTAAAAACACGTTTTTAATGCAAATAAACTTGAAACATAAACCTATTTGTCATTTCAAAATTCACTTGTATTGTCTGCGTGAAAGGCACAGTAGGCTATGAGCGAATACATATCAACATTAAAAAAATAACAAAGTCGTACAATATATACCATGTGCTACTGTCTAGGATTAAGTATGATGAGACTTTGTTTAAGGAGGGACCCCAGAGCCAAGGGCAGGCCGAGCAGACCGCCTTCTCCCGCCGCAGGCTTCCCCGGTGATGGGCTCCGTGTAACAAGTCCCCTCAGTCTGTGCGGGGAGCTGCACCACACACACCTACACACTGTACCACACACACCTACACACTGTACCACACACACCTACACCACACACACCTACAGCTCCTAAAGCATATCATCAAGCTACAGCCGTTGTGTATTTTATTAAGTGAAGCACTAAATGGTTTTAGAAAAATATCGACTTTGTTTGTAGATATCTACTAAACCAGGGGTTTTCAAAGTGTGGGAAGGTGAGCCTCCCCTCAGAGAACATAAGAACAGCCGCGCCCCCCCTCCCAATTATTATTGCTATTATTATTATTATTATCATTGTTGTTGTTGCTATAATGCAGGGGTATTCAATTGCATTTCAAAGAGGTCCAGTAAGAGAAAATGAAGACTGTTTCTCTCCTCTTGTCTCGTATCTGTGTGTGTTTGAATCTATCGTGCTGGCTCACTGACTGCACCGATGTGATTGGCTGAGTAGCGTCACCTCCTTAAAACATTAAACAATAACTTTTTTAAACCTTTTTATCTTTATGTTTTAAACATATTGTATAAAACTCCCCCACTACTTGGACTATTCCTTGCACCCCTCTAGAATAAGCCCGAATGGTCTCAACCATATTGCATCAGTAATAACGTGCACTTTGTTGTTATAACAAGATCGCAAGGACAGTGGTAGCGATCGGAACATTTAGTGTTGTTCAGTTTGTGTGTTGTGGAACATGCGTGTCCGTGCACGAAAATATACCACACACCCAATTACAATAGCATGTTCAATTCACTACCCTGGAAGTTAATAAAGTTGTTACAGTTGGAACAGCCTGTGGACAGCCGTTCTTCCTTGCATGTCAGTCGCCGACACCTTCTTACAGAGGACAGGCACATCTAGCTGCAGCACCACCCGTATATTTTTCGCACGCCGTGTTCTCAACACATCTTTTTTAAACATTTTTTAACATTTTCAACATCGTGGATATATATATGCTTATATGCTCCCGGCAACACACTGAACGTTAACTTTGCCTCCTTATTACACTCACCCCTACTTTAGTGGGAACAATGAGTCTGCGTCTTTGATGCACACAGGAATAAACGATCATCCTCTGGCTGCAGCCTTGACCGGCACTTCCTTTGATCAAAGTCAATGCGGAAAACCCGCACTCACACAGGTAGGTGGAAGTGAAGGGAATGAGCACTTTTACAGCCCTTTTGGCGAGGTGGGGGAACTCGGTCTCCACAGACAGCCAAAAGTGTGCAAGTGTCACTTTACTCGTCTTTTTCTCGTTGTTTTTTTTCTCACGCTGCGCCTCCCCTGAAGCTCTCTGGCGCCCCCCAGGGGAGGCGCGCCTCACACTTTGAAAACCGCTGTACTAAACTAAAGCAGATAAAGAGTGTAGGTCTGTTATACTGAGTGATATATATGATACACACTGCTCTGCTTTCTGCACGGACCTCACAGCTGTTCTCTCTGTAAACATCGCGTCGCGATGAAAGCAGTTAATAAAATAATATCCAGGGGATGCATGCAGAGCTGTGATTGGCTGAGATCAGTCCGGCCGTGCGTCACGACTCTTTGAAACATCTCTGTTCCCGGAAATGCATCCAAGGAGGAGCCGTGGAGGACCGTGGAGGACCCATCAGTGTCTCCTCGGTTAGAGCTCCTCCAGAGAGCCTCCTCCACGCTCGATGCTCGGTCCTCGATGTGTGTGTGAATGAGATGTCCTTCAACATGGAGCGCGGAAAACCATTTCCGGGTCACTACCGGAGGACCGAGGAGTCGAGGAGTCGAGGAGGGGAAATTAGAGTATTGAGAAGCCTCTCCTTTGATGGAATCTGTCAGAGCGTTTCCGGTTAAACAGCCCGGGAGGGGGGGGGGGGGGGAGGAGGGTAAATACAACAGCAGGACGAACCAAAGGAAAATACCCTATGATCCACAGGTACATGATCCACAGGTACATGATCCACAGGTACATGATCCACAGGTACATGATCCACAGGTACATGATCCACAGGCACATGATCTACAGGTACATGATCCACAGGTACATGATCCACAGGTACATGATCCACAGGCACATGATCTACAGGTACATGATCCACAGGTACATGATCCACAGGTACATGATCCACAGGTACATGATCCACAGGTACATGATCCACAGGTACATGATCCAAAGGAAACTCAGCAGACATTCAGCACAGAGAACTGTCAATGCAAGGAAGCTGCACTGTCCATGGGCCTGAACTACAAATTATAATTATAAAACGGACAAGTAAAATCAAGCAATCTGATTGGTTCTTACCCGTGGTATACTGAGCGTATACCACGGGTAGAATTGTAAGTTACTTTTCACAACAACTCAGTATCCCTCCGCGTCTGAGATAAACAGTATACAGTTGGGCTGAAAAGCAAACTGCCTGCAGTTTGCTTTTCAAACTGGAACAAGAAAGCAGCGGAGAAGTAACGGGGCAGAAACCCTCCTTTTTACGCAGCGGTCCAGACATAGACATCAAACGGCGACACATATTCAGTGTGCAGTTCCTTTGGCATTAGGGCAGGGGTATCTAGATACTTTCCAAGGTTTGACATAATGAATTGTGCTACTTTTAAAGCAAGCAACAATGTTTTCAAATCTGTAATCAAAAGGTCCTCAAAAACATTTAAGATTAACTTCGACCTCCGGGGGGGGGGGGGGGGGGGGTTCTCACTATGGAGGAGTGGATTGAGGGGGGGGGGGTCTTACTATGGAGGAGTGGATTGAGCAGTGCCTATCTCCAGAACAAAAAGCACCTAAACGACGACATGCAGAGCTACGTGAAGAGCAGGTCGACCAACTGGAAAGGTATCACCATTCAAAAGCTTTCTGATGCGGGTCTTGAAACAAAGCAGAGAAATGATGAGCGTTAGTGGCCTCAGGTGAGAAAGCTCTCTCCAGAGCTACTGGAAGCCCAATCTCAGGGACCGGAGAAAGTGGAGCAATATTCTCTCCACGCCAAAGAACAGCCTAGAACAACCTCAGCCTATACAAGTAACCACGTAAGCCATGCTGCTGATGCTGGACAGGTTTTCAGAGGCTGCACAATAAACAACAACATACACATGAATGTAAATAAATAGCCAAATAATGGATCAACGCTCTCTGTCTAATATGTTCGCTAGCTGTTGTTAGTGTTGTTGCATAGCAACCACCTCGCACTATGTTTCGTGCAGAAGGCAACAGAGGGACTATTTTATTTTGAACATCATTATTTAATCATAACAACTATTTAAATTAGAGTGTGTATTTTTCTTTCATATTGCCACACTTGATAACCGTTTTATAAAAGCAGTAGCTCACTTCAGACCGTGATATATGGTCATTATATCACAGCTGAGGGGTTTGTCGACCCTCCGCTTCGCGTCGGGCCGAACCACGCCCCTTAGCTGTGATATAATGAGCATATACCACGGCCTGTCGTGAGCTATTGCTTAAATATAACATTTCAGCAATCAGCATTGAAACATGTGCTATTGTAAATATCTTTGCCGACTTACAAATTAGTGAGATACATGTGCCTGTCGGGGCGCGCAGATTTTTGTAATCCTTGGTGGCACTGAGGAGAGGGCCACTCGCAAGTCCTGTTCAACAGAGAGCCGTGACCTCCTGTTGTTCTTCATGTAAACCAGAGTAGAGAACGCCAGCTCACACAGGTAGGTAGTGGGAAAAAGAAGAAGTTGCTCAATCGCGTGGTGGGAGATGCTTGGGTACTCCGATGCAGAAGCCAACCAAAACTGATCCAGTGGGAGCTCACTACATTTGAGTTTCAGTGTGCGGTCCACACGGAGCTCTGCGCACTCCTCTCTCTCTTTCATAGTGAGCTTTTCTGTTGGGAATTCCTGGTGGAATGGGTCTCGGATCCAGTCATAGTCCTCGATGTCAGCCACACGTGGAAAATAGCGGTCAAACCTCTCTTTTAAGGTCTGAAGGTGTTTGGCATATACAGCGCGCTCCCTAGCTGCCTGCGGCGCAGCTGATGCCAGCGGGAACATGTCCATGGAGCCCTGTTCCAAAGCCTCGCGCCACAGGATAAGTTTGCCCATAAACCCCCGAATCTTTTCTGTGGATGTTAAAATGTTTTCATTCCTGCCCTGAAGCTTGGCGTTTAACTTGTTGAGATGCCCAAATATGTCAGCGAGGTAAGCCAGCCTGGCGCACCACCTCTCATCCGCGAGCTTGTCTTTATGTGGGACAGCGTGTTCACGTGAAAACTCCAAAAGCTCTTCCCGAAGCTCATAAAGACGGGATAGGACTTTCCCCCGTGACAGCCAACGTACCTCTGTGTGGAGGATCAGGCTTTGGTGGTCGGCTCCCATCTCGGCGCACAGCTGAGAGAAGAGGCGAGATTTCAGGGGCCTTGATTTGATGTAATTCACCATCTGCACAGCCTGATTCAGCACCTCAGTCAACTCCGGGGCCATGGTTTTGGCAACTAATGCCTCTCGATGCAAAATGCAGTGGTTTTGTCACGATATGTGGGTTTTGTGCTCTCACCTTAGCAATACATCCTTTCACTCTCCCCGTCATGCTTGCCGCACCATCTGTGCAAAGACTGACGCACATATTCCAGGTCAGACTGTTCTCTTTTAAATAGTTATTAGTTACCCTGAATATTTCTTCTCCCGTAGTATGGCTTTCCATTTCTTTGTAGAAGAAAAACGTCTCTTTGATAGAGTCAGCATCAACATATCTGACGTTTGCCAGAAGTTGGGCAGCCCCACTTATGTCAGTAGATTCGTCTATTTGTAGGGAAAATCTGCCGCTCGCCTGCAGTTTCTCTGTCAAATGTTGCTCAATGTCTTCTGACATGTCGTCCATTCTTCTTTTGATGGTATTATCAGACACTGTGTCAGGCCTGTGAAGTGTCCTTGGGCAAGACACTTCACCCGAATTTGCTCCTGTGGGTATTGTCCCCGTTACATGTATGATATGTGTGTAATGTGTACTTCTAAAGCGCCTTGATGACTTTGAGGTGTGAAGATGGGCGGAGTGGCGCAGTGGGCTGTGCGTTGATCATCAGATCAAGGGGGCGTTGGGGAACACCAGTTCGAAACCCGCCGCCGCCGCTGAGTCTGTAAAGCCGTTGTGTCCTTGGGCAAGACACTTCACCTGAATTTGCTCCTGTGGGTATTGTCCCCGTTACATGTATGATATGTGTGTAATGTGTATTTGTAAAGCGCTTTGAGCTCTGGAAAAGCGCTTTAATAAATATAAGGAATTATTAAATACACTGCTTTTGTTTTAGTAACTGTTTATTCCTGAAGATTTAAGGAAATATAAAACACGTTTTTACTTTATTAACATTTCATGAGGTTAAATCTTTATAAATGTTTTGGTAGTTTATGATGTTTAACAGATCATCATCATCATCATCATCATCATCATCATCATCATCATCATCATCATCATCATCATCAGGAAAGACATTTATTAAACTCTTTATTAATATATTCCCATAAAGACCCCCTGAATACAGACCGTTAATGAAACCCCCCTCTCAGTTGAATCCCTCATAACTTGTTCTATATCCGTAAAACACATCAAGGCAATACTAGAAAAACTCGTGAACCTGAAGCTGGAAAACCCCGACAGCGCTCCGGTCTTTGAACCCACCTCTCAGTTCCCTGTTTAATACCAAGCTGTTGTTCATTTAAGTAATACAAAATACTTTTCTGTGCTAACCTGTGTTTCCCAGTGTCAGTGAATGCATCACTTCAGACGCTACTCATTAAAGATTATAAAAGAGGACAGAAGAGAGGAACCCCACTACGGGTCCGGTTCTAGGTTTGTTCTGAAGGGTCTGAGCTCTTCTCCAACACCTCGAGGACAGCTGATGAGTTTCATTAAGATATCCTCTGAAACCATCCAGTACCAGGACCAGGGCTCAGGACCAGGGCCCAGAACCAGGGACCAGGGCCCAGAACCAGGGACCAGGACCAGGGATCAGAACCAGGGACCAGGACCAGGGCTCAGGACCAGGGCCCAGAACCAGGGACCAGGGCTCAGAACCAGGGACCAGGACCAGGGATCAGAACCAGGGACCAGGGCTCAAAACCAGGGACCAGGACTCAGGAACAGGGCTCAGAACGAGGGACCAGGGCTCAGGACCAGGACCAGGGATCAGAACCAGGGACCAGGGCTCAGAACCAGGACCAGGGATCAGAACCAGGGACCAGGACCAGGGATCAGAACCAGGGACCAGAACCAACTTCTTTGGCTCTGAAGAGCTTTTTCCTTGGGGATGAGTTCTGGTAAAGATGTCCTGAATGTCCTGGAGGTCCTGGAGGTCCTTAAGGTC